GAAATGGGAACTCTCTTCGTTGGAAGTTCTGTTGTTCAAATGGCCGAAAAGATGGCAGTGGTTGGTCGCGAGTGGAGAAGTTGGTTGATGAGCTGTGTATTGAAGACTCCGGTGATCGTCGACTGAAATGGGAAGTGGGATTTGATTTTAGGGATTCAATTGTATTTGGGAATTTTGGGTTATTTTGAAATCGGGTCAGGCTTGGATTATCAAATCGGGTTAAGCTTTTGGATCCATGGTTGTTGGACCCGTATGAAAACCAAGGCCCATTTACACGTGAACTCTTGTTTGCTCCCACTTGGTCTTCTTCTAAAGCCTAACTTCTCTCCTCTATTCTTTGGGCTAAATCTATTATCTAGACTAAAGAATTAGGTTGGGCTAAATGGACTTCAGCTCTAATCTCAACTTTCAGCCCGTTAACAGATGCAGCCTACAGTATTTCCTCCTTCTCCCCTACCAAAAGTGCAACTACGACTTCAAACTGCCGACGAAACTCCACGACTGAAGCAGTCCGTTTCATTGCCATTAAAGACTCATACGTGTTGAACTCTTCTGATCCACTAAACCTCTAGAGTAGTGCAAGATTGAACATGGCCCATGAACTTGTCGGAGTTCCGGATTCAGTCCACTGGAACCAGTTTATAGCTTCACCTTCCATACAGACAGCTGCCGCTGTCACTTTCCCTTCCTCAGATATTTAGTTGAGGTTGAAGTAACGCTCTGCTCTAAAAATCCATCCGTAAGGGTCTTCATCGGAAAATATGAGCATCTCTAATTTTCGTCCACCCATTTCATTGCAACTTTGGCTACTGTTGCCAGACCCACTTGCTCCATTTAGATTTTCTTCTTGTATAGAATGGATATTTTCCGATGAACGCAACTCTGCTCTACCAGCTTCTTCTTCATCCTTTCTTCGTACCCAAGACTGTAACTCAACCAAACACTCTCGGATAGTGCCCATTTCAACTCCTAACTTTGTAACCTCTCTCTCTACATTATCCATTCTAGAATTCATCTTTGTCACCATTACCAGAACCTAGTGCTTTAATACCACTTGATAGACCTTGACTTGCAAATCAACCAACAACACCAAACAATCTATCCAACAATTCACAATCAGTGGTCACAACCAGAAAAGAAATAACTCTCTCTATATTGATATCAAAACAGAACAATACATCCAGCGATAATACATCCCAAGGCCATGTTCTATCAACAACCCAATAAACCAATATCAACTGAAAATAATGCAGAGTATAATAAAGAAAACAATAAACGATAAGACTGAACTTCGAGGGTCAGTCACCTCCCTTCCAAACCTTAACCTTCTTTCTGAATATCCTCTTTCTTTTCTTCATCTCCTTTTTATTCCCCACTGACACCTTTTTGCTCCTAACAGAATTCCTCTTTCATCCAATCTTATCAGGCCACCTGTCCTCCCATAACAAATCCTAACCTCCTACATAGCAAATGTTCCCCTACTTCTTACCACCACCCTTCCTACGGTAGACCAACCCCCTTAGTTGCTCATCACATTACATACTAAAGAAACAAGGAAAGAAAACTAGGAAGTCCTTCAAGCACAAGACATTACAATAAATACTTGGAACCTGTACAATATAACATCCTGTGCAAAGGGCAAACAACACACTAGAGTAAATGTTGCAACCTTAGTTATCGTATAAAATTTTACTTATAACCCCAGAAATTTAGCCTACTACATAACAAATCTATGGAGACAAAACAGAGTGGCAGAGCTACTTCTCATCATACGTAATGAAAAGCAAGGTTACAATTATAACCGGCATAATGCCTTCCACCTTGAATTTTATTTCCAAGAAATGTAGAATCAGAGGCCTAAGTTGAAACATCTTTATATGATTGCATCAACATCTATTGCAGTCCAGCTTTGGGTATACACCTAAGAACAGATCCAAGAAATGTGGAAGTCTAAAAATACTATAAAGCTCAAAGCTTTTTAGGCCTCACAAAAACCCAATTACAAAGTTTAACCAGTTTAGAGAATTATCCTACTGCAAAGATAAGGTGGTCAACTGATTAACCAATGTGTGTCAACAAATTAAACATTTGCATCTTGTGCTAACCAGTGGTGGATCCAGGAATTTCACTCGATGGGGGCAAAAAATAAACGAAAAAAAATTAAAACTAATCATATTCATACTTTTTTTTTTCATTATAATGAGCTTTAACAAAAAGTTACAAAAGACAAATAAATATCTTCAAAAATCACAATTTTTGTAAAAATAAAACAATTTTTCTACAATTGTCCTCGACAAGTTTTCATATTCTGAAAACATTGGATAATTATCTCATCATCAACTGTATCAAATACATCTTTCTCAATATAGGTGACCAAGCAATCATTCATCCATTGATTTCCCATTCGATTGCATAACCAACTTTTCACAAGATTCATTGCAGAAAAAGTCATTTCAACGATCACAATTGCAACTAGTAAAACCAATGCAAGTTTCACAAGCTTATACACTAACAGATACAAAATGTCTTTTTTAAGCTTAATTAAAATCTTAGCCAAATCACCAATTCCTTCTAACTTAGCAAAATTCATCAAAAGAACGCTTTTCAATAACATAAGTCCTTGTATGGTTCTCAAGTACCATCAACTCAAGTGTAGAAAAATCAGTTGGATAAAACTGGGCAAAACGGATCAACTTATGCTTGTCAAAAGCAGAGAATGAAATACTTAGATCTAAACATGTCATACAAAGAAGTAGCTTAGTAATAACCTTAGTGAAACGAGTGTTAAGTTTTTGAAGTTGCATATTTATCACTGTATAAAACAATTCAACTCGATAGTGATGCAAATTTTTCATGTGCTTAACTCTTTGTCGTGGCCGCCTTCGAATTGCAAACATATCATCCATATTCAAAATGACAATATCATGTTTTTGGCAAAATGAAGAAATTTCACTCAACAAAGATTTACATCCTTCATCTCTCAACAATTGTAACCGTTGTTTTGGAGACTTTGACTAGGGCCATAGCATTTACAATGTCTTGATCTTTTCTCTGCAATGTTTGTGACAACTCATTAGTAATTGCCAATATATTTTTCATCATATGCAAGCTAAATGCAAAATCAAAGGAATAGATTACATCTAATAGATTTAGGGGTGAAATCGAATCAAGTCGAGTATTTGGTAAATCCAACTCAACTCGATCTCTATAGTACCGAGTTCGAGTTCAAGCTTGATAGAACCTAAGAAATCAAGTTCAAACTCAAACTCGGTATTTGAAATTGGAAATCGAGTTCGAATTTAAGTGCGTATAATCGAGCTTTTTTCGAGTTTTAGTCGAGTTTTATTCGAGTTTTAATCGAGTTCAAGTTCGAACTCGATTTCAAGCTCATCTAACAGGGGTGGATTTGAAATTCTACAACTTTTAAATTACATATGACCCCTATTACTTTAAAAACTGTCAACTTAACCATCAAGCTTGGAAATACTCGCGAATATATTGAATCGAGTTTTACTCGATTAACTACTCGAGCTCGACTCGACTAATGAGAAGTCGAGTTCAAGCCAACATCAAGTATAGTTTGAGTGGCTCGCGAGTGACTCGACTTGATTTTCACCCCTAAATAGATTACATGCTTCACCCATTTGTTCAGGATTTAAACCATTATGTGCAAACCCAACAACTCTTATTCCTTTCATTTTCACTCCCAATAAAATTTTTAAAAACTAATAGATCCTCTTGCAGAAAAATAAAAATCATAAAGAATATGTAATAAATATATTAGAATAAAAAACGGGGTTTTACAAAAACAAAATCCAAACTTACTGTGGGGGCCAGCTATTCCGTTCTTAAAATCTCAAAAATTTATAAGGATAAAATTTAAATAAATAGAAATAGAAGTAGAAGATCTGAAATTTTTGAAAAATTGAGTGGGGGCTGTGGTCCCCACCCGTCATTCTTTAAATCCGGCCCTGGTGCTGGCAGTGCTGAGTAGTCAGGAAGTCCACATTTTCAGATCAGTTTCGTGTAACAATGAAATAGGTTAGAAAAAAAAAAAAAAAAAAAATTATATACCTATATTGATGACTCCAGGAATTTTCTTAAAAAATAAAAAATAAGAATATCATTTAAGTTTTGTATTCTAAGTTATGTGATATTTACTCGACAACGTTTATATCAGTTGTCCCATAAATAATATATCTCAGCGACACATTTTAAAAGGTTGGTATGGATTTCATTACTCACAAATTATTACAAGGAAAATGATAGAGTTATCGAAAAGTTTACACTGAATTTGTGCACCGAATGATATGGTAAAATCTTGACCGTTGATTAATATTAACTATAATAAATAAACGGTCAGGATTTTGTCACATTATTCGGTGCATAAATTTGGTGCACATCTGTCGATAACTGTAGCATTACTCTTATTATAAATAAATATGCACAAGTTAACTACAAGTACACAGGAAAAAAAAAAAAAAAAATCAGCCAACTAAGAACATCAAACCAAAATAAGAGATGTATGATGTACTAAAAGTTGTGCAATAACTGAATGTATCCTACTGTGGTTCCATAAACTTCTTGTTCCTAGCTCCCAAACATTTTATAAAATTGACAGTATCTCCAACTTAAATATCCCTTAGAACAACTCAACCTCATATGAAGACCTTCAAAACCTGCCAAAGAGTGGATGCAACAACCAGCAAAAGAACAATAATTGTTAATATGATCCACTATCCTAGTCCTTATTTGAAATTCAAACACCCAAAAGAAAGAAAAAAAAAGCTTCCGATGACAAGAAATAAGAAAAGCAAAATACTATCAGGGCAAAAACAAATCCCAGAAGCAAACAAACAACATTATCAGATCGGTTAGCAAAGGAATGCAGGAAAGATTGCTCACGGTTTTGGTCGGATCTGTGAAGAAAGCAGAAGTGGATTATCGCAATAGAGCTGTGTGTTGTTTACCCAAAACTCGAGCCCTAGAGTTCCTGAGCGATGTTGACCTCGCACTTGGCGGAGCAGGCGTCGATCTCTTCGACGCGGTGCGAGGCAGGGTCGGAGAATGGCGTCGAAGCAGACAGCGAGAGAGAAGAAGAAGAAGAGGAGGGTCGCAGAATGGCGTCGAAGCAGACGAGGAGAGAGAAGAAGAAAAGGGTTGAATTCAGTATTTAGGTTAAGGAAAGGCGAGGATCAAACAAGAGGAAGGTTTCTGGAGTCGAGGGAGAGCGATGGGAGAAAAGAAATAGCCCTGACTGGTTTTCTGTTTTTCCAATCCCATTGGATTGAAAACACTTTTGTCTCTTCTTTCACCTCCCTTCTTCAAAACCAAATCTCTCTTCTGCAGTTCTTCTCTCCCATCGCTCTCCTTCCACTCAAAATACCTCCGCTCCCGCTCCTCCGCCACCTCCGCGAAAGTTTCTGAATTCGTCAAAGCTCTTCGCCATCGACATCAACGGCCATAAATGCAAGAACATTTTCGATTCGATCTGAAATTTTAATCTCTGTTGATTTTAGAGAGTTTTTGAAATTTTGGATTTACGAATATTCTTCAACAACAAGCTATCGAACAAGAATGGGAGTTCACGGGCTTTGGGACCTACTGGCTCCCGTTGGCCGCTGCGTTTCCGTCGAAACCCTCGCCGGAAAAAGACTTGCAAATTTTTGTAGTTAGGTTTTGAAAATACCCATGAACCGTTAACTGAAACCGGGAAACCGATTTGGTTATTTTTGAAAACCAAACCGAACCGATTTTTCGAAAACCGGTAATCGGTTCGGTTTTAAGGGTTTTTTTTTTTTTTTTTTTTTTTTAACCCTATTTAGGTTTACCATTATATCTATATATTAAGAGAAAGGAGAGAGAACGCATTGCCGTCCCCAATATTGTATTGCTGCGTACTGTTGAAAATCAAATCTTCTCTATCTTGACTGCAGTACCCTTTTCTACTTCTTCTTCATTGTGTGTTTTGGCGTTATTTTTCATCACAAAAACCCCTTCCCTTTGTCCATAAAAAAATAAGCTTAATCAAAAAAAAAATGCGTTATTATTCGTTATTTTTCGGCCCAAAAACCCCTTCCCTTTGTCCAATTAAACCTAATCGTAACTCCAAGGCCAAAAATTTGAGCTCGCTCCTTGCTTTAGCCGACAAACGCACCACTAAATTTACAACTAAGCCTTCTTCTCTAACAAAATCTACAATTAAGCCTTCTTCTCTAACTTCACGGGCCGCCACCACCACCGAGGGCCGACCCTTGAAGTCATTCGCCTCCTCCGTTTATTCTAAAGCTGCATTGCTCTCCACTTCCGCCGCTAACTTCTCACACGACTCTCCGAAACTCTCAAGTTCTGGTATTTTTTTATATTTACTTTAATCAGATTTTTTTTCTTACTAGACCCAACTTTAAAGAGGTAATTTTAAGTTGATTTTAGCATGTTTGAGGTTATTTTTCTTTTTTCTGAGTATAAGTTTAATTGCTTGGTTGCTGAGACAATTGAAGAATAGGGATGGGAGGCAACTTAATTTTAATATATATATATCTATTATAATTATATATATAATATATATTATATATATATTATATATATATATATATATATATATATAATAATATTATATATATAATCTATATATATATTTCTTTGGTGGTTGGGAACTCAGCAAAGGCTTCCGCAATTTATTAGAATGATTTTTTTTTTTTTTTTTAGTTCTCTAGTAAGCCAAACTTTGAAGCAGTAATTGGCACGTTTATGTTATCTCTTTCGTTGCTGAGAATTTTGAGAGATGAAATGGATGGCAAATAGAATTGTGGGGTTAATGGTTTGTGTTGTTTCGGTTTCTGAGTGGTTGAGCACTCAAAGAAGTTTTTTTTCTTTTCTTTCAGTGAACTCATTTTTCAACCAGCCGGTAATTGGACTGAACTATTATGTTATCATTTGATTATGATCCACCAAAGCTGTATAAAGAGGATATATTTTTTCCATATTGCGTGGTTCGTTGGTGTAATTTATGGTATAATGAATAAGTTGTTGCATTTTTTTCTTCCATTTATTTGATTATTGAAAAATTTGGAGTTAAAAGAAATGAATTGTTTTGATGTTACAAAAATTAACTGAACTCAGAAGTAATTGTGTTAACTCCTTTTTCGTAATTGAATGTGGAGCTTGTTAGTTGTTATTCAAATGTTCTAATTGGTTTCATTTATTCTCTTATTTTGCAGTTGATGCTACACTTAGTTCGCCCAAGTCAGGAGGGACTAATAATGCTAATGCTTTAGAAACTTTATTAGGGGTACCATGGTTTTCTACTGTGTCTAACCATAACATTTTACAACTTCCAAAAGAAGTCTTGCCTGAGAGGAGACAAAAATGGATTTTCAAAAATACGCAGACTCATCGTTCTGAAAAGTTAGCGAACCTGTGTGCAAATAAACTGGGGACTGATGCTACTCTTAATGAATTTGGTAGATTGGGGCGAGAAACTGGTGTGAAAGAGTACAATTCGTTAATAAGGATCTGCATTGAGCGGGCTAAGGATTGTGATCATGAAGATGTTGCACTGGAAAAACACATTTGCAAGGCTTTCCTACTTTTCAATTTTATGAAGGAGCAGGGTTTTCAGCTGGAAGAGGAAACTTATGGTCCACTTCTTATGTATTTAATTGACATGGGTATGATAGAAGAGTTTCATTTTTTCCATAAGGTTATTGAAAGTGGAAATTCTTGTTCGGATCCAAGACTAGGTTACTATGAGATGTTGTTGTGGATCAGAGTCAATAATGAAGAGAAGATTCAGGAACTCTGTAACTGCACTGCAATTGATTATGAGGGAGACTATTTCAACTTGATAGGTACGTGGTTCAATGTCATCTTGACTCTATACTTGTTTCTTGTCAATGAGATTTTTTATTTGATTAGTGTTTTGGTTTACCCTTTTGTTTTAATAATTGCCTACTTTGCATTACTGGCCTTACAAAATTCAACCTTTGCATTGCAGAGAATTACTTGTTAGCACTTTGTGAAAGCAAACGGAATAGTGAATTTTTGCAACTTTTGGAGACTGTGGACATAACAAAGGTTTCCTCACTGGACCATGTGATGAGTATTTTTAAATTCTTGGGGAGGCTAGTGTTGGAATCCTTTGCAGAGAAGTATCTTTTGGCATTAAAAAAATCTGGTATGTACATGGTTTTTTCATTTTCCATTATCTGGAAACTTCTTATTAAGCATTTATAAAAGTCTTATTTACACAACCTCTAGATACGTTTGGGGAATTCATATCTGTGTGCAGATATGATTTTGTTGCTAGTGTAAGTGACAGAGTTTTAGGGCAAAAACTAATTGCTGATCCAAAAGTAGAAGCGGAATAAGAATCAAGTCATTGCTGTTGCTAAGTTAGTATGAATCTAGGCATTAAATCCTGGGCTCTTTTTTACACATTAATGTATTGAATCGGAGAGAGGCATGCCTTGGGTCTTCCTATTTGGGCAAGTCATTGGTGTTAATTTTTCTATGGGGCTATTGTCCATGCCAAAATCTTTACTTTGGTAGGGACTCTTGCTTTCCAAATCAGAATTGAGGAATATAAAATAGGGATAATAGATTATCTATTAAAGTCTTACAATACGATTGGTAGAGAACAAGCCATCCTTTTCATCATCTATTCATATGGAAATACTAGTGACAACCTTGATTTCTTGAGCAAAGAAGTTATTCGTTTATTTGTTTCTTGTACTTTTACAAACATTATTCATATTTAATATCACGATCTTCTAAATTTGTTTCATAATTGTATGTATTCTTTTAACATTATGCAATTATTTAAAGTTTTAATGATATTCTGGATGACTGACTTTGGGTAGTTCATTATGCAATTATTTGGTTGACGCACCTATGCGGTTATCTTTCATATGTATTGTAAACAATTAAGTTCACTTACCTTGTTTGTGGAATCTATAATAGAGAATGATTAAGGTCTGATGGAAGACTAGGAACTTGTTATTAATAAAGCTATCCATGCTTGGCAAAATTGCAGACTATGGAGCAGAGAATGTCTCAAATGTCATCTTTAGCTACATCTTTGGCATTCCAAATTTAGAGGTGAGCAACTTCTCATGAATCCTCCTGGTAATTTTCAAGAGACTATAATCCTATGAGACACCCTTTAAGTTCACATGCAGTTTGCTATTTCATTTTAAAAACTTCATTCTACTTTTACTTAATATAAAACTTAGGAAACTCATAAGTTGATTGGTTTTTTGGAGGGAGGTTAAAGTAAAACCCCTTTGGTGTGCTAAATCAAGTAAACCGTAAGTTCTCAAAAGAAATCATATAGCCACGTTTAATTACAGCTTCACTGGTTGGATTTTTCGTATCTTGTCTTATTAAGAAATTCTAATTTGTTTCAGTTGTGATAGATTCTTCCGAGGAATATATTTTGGTATGACAAACAAGCCATAGTGGAGTTTTTTCATTGAAATCTCTCTCTTTTTTGTGGTTTGAGGGAGGTTACTGTTCCTAAATGCTACATTTCCTGTTGAAATGGCTTGTTTTTTAAGGTGACACTTTGGAAAAAGATAATGTTTCTAGAGTCTCCCTTATCAGTTTAATTTGTACCATTCCTAAGGAGCAAACAATGGAAGAATCCAATTTTTGTCAACTTTGAAGAGCTTGTACTAGTTCACCATCTTTAAGCAATACTATTTTTGTTTGTAACCTCTTTTCTTTGCTTTTTTTTTTTTTTTTTTTTTTTTTTTTTTTTTTTTTTTTTTCATTTTTTTTTTTTTTAAGTTTGGGAAGGTTTTTTTTCTTTGGACATTTATGAGGAAGCCAAAGATTTTTTTTTTTTTTTTCTGAAGTTGATCTATACAATTAGTCAAGTTTTCAGGGTCTCTATCTGTTTATCTATCAGTCATCCATGCAGATCAATACCTGCCCGTCATTTAGCAGTCATCAACTGGGAAATTGTATTTTCGCATACAAGCTGGGTACTTAGGAGTTACATGACAAATTTTTATTGTAGGATATTCATTGCATCTTGTTTGCAGTCAGCATCTTATTTGCAATCAGCATCTTATTTTATGCTGTATGAGTTATGAATTTTTTGCCATCTAAAAGGCTTTAGTTATATATTAACCTTTTTTTTTCTAGTTAATGTAACTTTTTTATTGCTTCTATGCATAAGCAGTATTGCCTTAAAAACTGATCAACTTACATGTGTTTTTCATTGTTGTTTTCTTTACATATATTGTTGTAAATTGAAGGTTGAGGATATTATTTCAAAGTTTAAAGACTTGCATGCCAAGCTGGAGATCAAACCTTCTTCTACCTCCTATGAGAAGCTCATTGCTTATACTTGTGATTTGTACATGGTATGAATCCAATTTCTTTGTAGAAAGAGAAATCTGACTAATTGTTTTTTTGAAAATAGTTTTTTTAGGATTATGGTGTCATGTGGATTATTGAAAAACTATTTTCCGCTCTCATTTTTTAATCTAATTGTGTTATCATACAGTTTTTGAATTCTAATTGCTATTTATTTGGCAGAAAATTACAATGAAACTAATATATTTTTGATTCACTTCGAAGGTGGATTTGGCTCTTGATATAGTTGACGAAATGTCTGAAGCTGGATTGACACCATCCATAGACTCAATAAACTCTATTTTGATTGCTTCTGAGAAATACTTTTCGTATGCTTTGGTATATAGGTTTGACTCTGACCATTTTCTTGTTTGTATTTTTGAGTAGTTGTTATAAATACTTATGACTTCGGGTTGTTAGGACTCACCAGTGATAAGAAACTCGATTTTAATTGTTGACAATGATTTCAAGAGTCTGTATTTGTCATGTATGACGATGATGAACTAATAAAAATGTCATACCAGACAATTTCTTTTGTGAATTTCTGGGTATATTAAAAAAAAAAATTTTTTTTGGTCTTCTTTGATATGTGAAATTTTAAATATTCATTTCAAACATATGAGCAATTAATTTTTATATAGCCTTTTATAAAAAGTAAATAAATAAATAAGCAAAGGAAGTTAGAATGAAAGTGAATCCACCACGTTTGAAATCAAGTAATACTGAACTTTAGTTCACTAGAATGGTCATGACTTTTGATGGTTAGCTTAATTGTCTAATTATTGTCATATTACTGATCTTTGTTGGTGCACCACATTGATCTGAGTTATGGTGTAAGGAGATAAAACTGTAAGAGATGAGTTTAGCAATGATTTGGGGTCCTTGTGATATTAACTAAATTATACTCTTTTGTTACCAAAAAAAGCCTTTTAGTATAAACTAAATAGTATTAGTAAAAAAAAAAAAAAAATATATATGAAGAACCATATATATTCATGCATGGCTAATCCTTGGTGTTGTTTGAATCTATTTCTGTTGCATTTAATTATTTATTCTTATTTCAGGTTCAGCGAGCCTATTTGATAATCTGCTACCATAACTTGAAGCCAAATAGTGAGACCTTCAGGCGCATGATAAGTTTAAGTGTGAAAAAGGAGGATGTAAGTAGCTACGCATCTAGCTTGTGTTGTTTTTTTTTTTTTTTTTTTTTTTTTATATTGTGATATGCTAAACACTTAAGTATCCTATGGTTGAAACTTAAACATTATGCCAGTTTATGTTGAAACTTTATTGTTCCAATATAGTTTGATGGTGCATATGCAATGCTCTGTGATGAAAAGAAAATGAATTTGATGCTAACTGCAGACATGTACAATGCTATAATGGATGGGTATTTTCAAAAGGTGACTTCTTCACTCTCAATATATGCTATTGAATTTATGATGTTTGTCTATTTTTGTGTTTTGACTTGCTATATGGCTAAATACACTGTAGGAAGACATGGCTAGTGCGTTGAAGGTGTTTAAACAAATGGAAAAGGCAAACGTGAAGCCAAATTGTCAAACTTTCAGCTACCTTATAAAAAATTGTAGCAATGAAAAAGATATTGTCAAGGTAGTTTAAGATTCCTGTTTTAACGAAAAGTTCATTTTATCCTTTTGTCTATGAAGAGTAGATTCTATTTTATTGTTATTGATAAACAGTTTTATGATTTCTCCTAACAATTTTTTTTTTCTTTTTCCTTTTCATCTGATTGCCAAAGATGGATTTTTCAATAAGTGATGTGATAATTTGGTTTTTTGCTTTTAGTATTATGAAGAAATGACGTGCTCCGGAATTCAAGTTACAAAGCAAGTCTTCATGGCACTTATTACTGCATATGCATCTTGTGGAGAGTTTGAGAAGGCAAAACAGGTATTGGTGCATGTCACATCTTGATTTTGTTTGAATCCATTGAATGCAAAAGTTGTTTCCGATTGTTCATTGGAAATATGAGATTTGTCTGCATGATTTGATTTTATGCTGCTGCATATTGGATAAAAACATCCATGCTTATGGTAGACTTGTCTGCATGATTTGATTTGATGTTGCTACTACTTTTGGATAAACATATATCATATTCTCCATTTTGTTGCATTATTTTGCTTTATACAATTAATCCATGGACTCAGATAGTGCGATATACATCTTCACTTGTGCTTAAATTCATTGCATTGCTTTTCTTGATGTAGTTTAGCTAATAGAAATTTTTTTTTTTTTTTTTTTTTATTTTTTTTTTGGTTTCCCCCCTAAAGGCGTATCTAGATTGAACTGTCAATTTATGATAATCTAATGTATACCATTTTCCATAATAGGTGATCTTAGACAAAGGTATTCCTGTTGAAAGCCTAAATGAAATCAAAGGATCACTTGTTGCAGCTCTTGCATCGAATGGACAAAAGTTTGACGCCCTTGTCATATACGAAGAAATCAAGCAAGCTGGATGGAGATTGAATCCTGAAGATGCCTTTGAACTTCTTGTAAGTTAGAGATATTTTATGTTTTATGTTTTATGTTTTTTCAATGCAATGACAATATCTATTCTTATCTTAGCCTCATCTCCATTCTGAAGAAGAGTTGAGTATATTGATTCAGCTATTGGAGGATGTGAATGATTCACCCTATTGGATGGATGTTTGCGAGTCAGCGATTGCGTGTGCTGTTCGATTGAAGAGATTAAGGTCCTCACACAAAACTCTTTTATTTTTTTGTTGTTTAATCAATTTACTTAGCCAGTTTACTTATGTTGATCCTTTTTCGTTCTAGCTATGCGGTTCCTTTGCTTAAGCAACTCAAGGATAAAATCAAACCTAGCCGTTTTGTTTCAGAAGGCTTTTTGTTTCAGGTTTGCTCCTATTCTTTTTTGTTCCATTTGTAATATAACCTGCTTGCTCTAAATACATATATTGTTGGTCTGCAGAATTATTGTGGTAGGTTGGAAAATATATTATAATAATAGTATATGAGAACTTTTAATACTAGTTCGTTTCCATATTTATCAATGAGTATGCAAATATCATGTGTCTAGTTAGAATATTGTAATATCTAATTTTCATTGTATATTTATAGTATGATTATGAATTAATGTGATGAACTTTGTATTTTATCCTTCCATTTGTTATTACCATGTAGGTATTCTCTGAAATAGCGGAAGAGCCTACCGATTTGCAATTTGGCTTAGACTTTTTGCGGATCATGAAGAATGAACTTGACATCGCTCTATCACCTGAATGTTTCGATTTTCTTCTCAGTATTTGTGTGAAAGAGAAAAATCTGCAAATTGCTCGTTTGATTTGGAAAGAATATAAGACAGCAAATCTACCTTACATTACTTTTAGTTGTTTATGGTAAGATATGCTTGTTCATGTTTTTATGTTTTATGTTTTTTATGAATAATGAGGGTTTTATCTTTCTCCATAACTTATAATTGGATGTTTTTCCAAATTTTTGCAGGATGTATCGAGCCCTTTTGGTTTCAGGTGATCCCTGGGGTGCAAGGAAAATACTTAGTAAAATTCCGAAAGACGATCCCCATATCCGTAGGCTAATTAGGGGTGACCATGAAAATTGGGTAGAATTAGAGGCTTACTGGGGTCCCAGTTTCAGTTTCCTACCTCGAACTGGCCTGCAGGGAGTAGCGTAGGTTCCAGTTCCAAAATCGTCGTTATTATACCCTATTGAGAATCAGGGGTTAAGTGATAGTTCATAAAATTATGTGGGGTATTATGTAATTTTCTATTCACTGTTTACCAAGCAAAATCTTACTGTGCAATACAATTATTAATCTTATTGTTCCTTTTTTTAATTTATATTATTCATGAATATCTGTTGTCTTGGAAAGATTAATTTAGGATTTTAAAGGAGTTAACAACTTTTTCTCACCCAAATCATGGTGAGAGTGCGGTCAACGGTTGATCTTGATAATGTTATTACCCACACCATCACTATTCTCTTTATCAATTATCATCCAGTAAAGCTCCTCAAATCTTGCTTCTATCGACATTGTCAATCGTCGATAACTTAGTGATTAGAGTTTGCATAGGTATTGTTTTGAAACTTGGATTAGATTGGGTGGTCGGATTGGTTGGATTGAGACTTAATAGCCTCTCTGGTCTAGTCTAGGTTTTGTTATTGTTTTAGGGGGTTTTTGTTATATTTTAAACCTTAAGGGACTTCTAATTTTCCAAGGGTGTTTTCTAGGGACTTATATCGTATCTATTTGGGGGTATTTTTGCAATATATTAAAATTTTAGAGACTAATTTAATTTCTTAAAGATATTTTTATAATATTTTTTATTATTGATGCCATTGCTCTAACGTCAAATTTCAACTAATCACGACTACTAAAATTCAACTTACCACCATAAAAAACCCACCAACTCTCTTCAAAAGATTTAATAGCCTAGATCGAATTTGCTCTTTACTTGTCATCAAATATTTCTAATAGTAAATAAAATATAAATTTGGACAGTAAAGTGATATTTTAAAGGTCTTTGGTGAAAAAATGTCATTACATTATTATTTGGGTGGGAAAAATTCTTTTACTCGATTTTAAAATGAGATTATATTGATAAACATACTGAAATTATCAAGAAATATTTATATTCTCTTGTATTCAAAACCCAATATTTAATTGTTGATGTGATATTCCATGAAATCAATTATTTAATCATTCTTATATATTTTAAAATAATAATTAAAAATTTGCATAGCATGAAAAGGTCTAAATTGTATTTATTATTATTTTAATAAGTTTTAACCATATGAAAATGCTGTAAGCTGTTCATTAATGTTTCAGCAAGCGGACCAACTAATTATAATTATCTTTTTAATGGAACTTTAAATCATTAATTGATCTATAAAATTCAAAAATGAAAAAGAAGTAAGATCATGACACAAATTTCATGCTAAACATTCAAAAATGCAAAAAGAATAATTGAAAAATAAAAAATAAAAAACTCATAAAAATTGATCGTGTGCGGATTAATTGCAATGAATTGAAATTGTAGATCTCTTTCTTTCCTCGAATTATGGTGGCCAACGAACTTGTGGATCTCAAACGAAATGATAAAGAAAGAACAATAAACAGATGGGGTGTATTTGTAATTTTTAGGGTTTATTTGTCATTTTTGAAACTAATAGGGATTATTTTAAAATTCTCCTTGGTACCCAGGGCCAGAATGAAACTTGAGAAACAAGTTTTGGTTCCACCTCAAGAGTTGGAACTGGCCGATTCTGGTTTCGATTCTAGTTCCTTCAAAAAATGACGGATACCTAGACCAATCACCCATAGTGCTGATCAATGATACATAACAGCTTGCAATAGGAAAGAAAAAGAAAGAAAAGGAATGATTGATATAAACTTGGTTATTGATAAATGGTAAATCCTCCAACCATTCATTGTATAGGGAAGGAGAAAAAAAAAAAAAAAGCAAAAAAAGATTGATATAAACTCCTAAACTTCTTAAAGCATTACTCGTGGAAATTACAAGAAGAGATAGAGTACTCATAATTAAAGGTGGAAAAGTAACCCGCCCAGCCCGGCCCGGCCCGCGGCGGGTTACATTCTTTGGCGGGCCGGGCCTAACCCGCCTGCCAACAAAGGAGGGCCGGGTTAGGCCCGGCAATTTGGGGAAAATGGCTGGCCCAGCCCGGCCCGGCAACCCTAACCCGCCGGGTTAGGCGCGGTCCGGGCCGGGTTAGCCCGATTTTTTTTTTTTTTTTAATTTAACTTTTCAAATAAATAATTATAAATATAATTGTTTTTAGTTAACTTTTCAAATATCAATAATTCAATTCAATTCAAATTTTTTTTTTTGTTAACATTTCAAATATTAATTCAATTTTAATACAATAAAATTGTAATATAAGAAAAATTAGACTTATTCATTTATCAAAAAAAAAAACAAGAAATTACAACAATTATTGCCTCGTTAAAAACCTCACCAAGAAAAACCCAATGGGAGAAAAACTTGGTAAAGAAAAAAGAGTGCAATAATTGACAATTAATTTACAAATTACATTTTAACAAAACAACATTTGGGGATGGTTCACTAGGACCTCCCTCATCTGTATCATCTATATTACAAAATTGAAATGATTCTACTAAAGTATTGTCGATAACCTCGTATGATCTTGATGGCGCGATCGTTCCCAATCTCGAAGATATGTGAGGACTTCAATCATTTTTGGAGCAAGTTTAGTCCTCCTTTCATTTAAAATTCTTCCACTTGCACTAAATGTTTGATCGGATGAGACGGGAACAGGAAAACATCCAAGGGAAGTCTTGATAATACCGGAAAAATACATTTCTGGCTCTCCTACTCTAAGATATCAAGTGACCTGTTGAAAACATTTCGGGGGTTGCCAAATATTGTTGAAGTTCATTACTCTGCGACTCCATGGAGGACAGTATATTAGTTGTTGTTGTTGTTGGTGGTGGTGCTTCTGAAGGAGGTTGTGCTTCGGATTCGGTCTCTTTCGGCCTATTCATGCATTCCAAGAGTATAAGTCTTCATTTGTTGTTTCTTCTGCTACAGCTTCTCTGGATATTTCGCCTCTTTGCGACTGCGGGTTCCATACCTGTTTTCATATGGAAATATCTTCGAAAAGACTATTTTTTTACCTCTCCTATCTGATTGACATATGATTCGGTTTGTAAATTTTCACTTAAATTGTCAAGACCATTTTCTAAACGTGCTAATTTAATTCTAGATCAAATATCACCTCAATAGAAAAGGAATGAGTTTCCAATTTTGAAAAAAAAAATTTCCATTGCCTTTATTGGTGCATGTAAAATTTCATTGTCTTTGTTTTATAAATAACTCGGAAATTTTTATAATTGTATGTATTATCAATGGACTAGTAGGATAATATACACCAGAAAGTTGTAAAGTGGATTGGTAAAAACATTTGAGAAAAGAATAAAATACTTTAGCTATCTTCCAATCATTTTCTACCAAATGATGAGGACCTCTATTATTGCTACAAAATAACTAATTATATTAGCATGTATACATAAATCAGCATTAAATAAGTACTATTCTATCTAACAGGCATATCTATGCAAAAGTTCTAGGAGACATATTTGATTTTATACAAGCTTCTTGAAATTCAGCATTTCTTTTATTACTACCAGTAATCCAAGCTAAAGATTCCCTAATTCTATCAATATTTTGTTTAATTGTTTTCATACCACTTTTCACAATTAAATTAATAACATGACATGCACAACGTTGGTGAAAAAACTTCAAATTGTTATATAAAATAATTATTTTAAAAAATTCTATAGCTTTACTATTAGAACTTGCATTATCTAAAGTTAAACTTATTACTTTATCAATAATATCATAATCTTCTAAAACTTCAACATTTATTATATAATTTCTAAACCACTATGATCCACACCATTAATCTAAATCCTAATAAAGATTTATTTAATTTAAATTCATTATCAAATAATGACTAGTCACACAAATTAATCTTGTTTGCTCTACCACTCTAAATATTGGTAGTTAAGCCACTATATGCCAAGTATGAAATTTATTTTTTAATTCTAATTTCATTTTTTTAAACAATTTTATTAAATCATTTCTAGTTGCAGTTTTAGAATAACTTTTAAATCCCGAAAAAATGAATTTTGAACAAATCTTTCAAAATATTATCTTCTGCCATATTAATAGGTTGATCAGATGCAGCATATATAAAGCTAACTGTTCCCTATATACATCAGAATTATAACGCCAAGTAGTACCCATTTAGTTATTTGATTTTGATTACTTTCTCTATTTCCATGTTGATTAATATGTTTATTAGCACGCCTTTCTAAAGTACTAGTCCATTGCCTGAATCAGCTTTATAAACATTTGCACAATATTTGCATCTTGCTTCTTGACTTGAACGCCCTTTTCTGTCTCGTAAAACTTGTCGAAATACACCCAAACGTCTGATGTGTGTCTGTTTTTGCTTTCGACGGCAGTTGATGATCCCGCCTCAGCTTGAGTGAAGTTGAGAGGACGACGATTACGAGGACGACTTCTAGAACCACCGGAGCTGTTGGAATCGACGGCATATTTTGAGTGTATCGGATTCTGAGACTGGATTAGGACAGCGGACTATTTGCAATCTCCTGCATTCATAGTAAAATCAGCGGGACTAGGACTAGGATAATAGTTTTCTTCATCATTGAAATTGATGGGAGAGAAATATCTATCCATTGTAGACTTGTAGTTGAAAAAAAAATTGATGTAGAAGAAATAAAAATTAAAGAAAGAGAATTGGAATATGGAAATTGGAAATTTGGAATTTGGAAAATTGGAAATATGAATTGAAAATTGCAAAAACTAATAAAAATTAAAATAAGAGCAGATTGATAACAAAAAGATTAAGAGAATAAATGAATAATTGAGACTTGGGAGAATAGAGATTAGAGAATATGAGAAAATGAGAGAATTTGAGTTGTGAGAAAAATATGAGAGTTTAGGGCCAATTTATAGAAAAAAATGGGGAAAGAAAATGACGAAAAAGACCCCTCCAACGGCTATAAAACGGCTATATTTCAAGGGTAAAAGGGTAATTGAAAAAAATAAAAAAAATTTACATTTTTTTTTTTAATTTTTTTTGGGCCAACCCGCCTGCAACCCG